GCAGAACAAAATTAAATACTTTCAACGATATATTTGAAATATCATGTGACGTCACAGTGTGTCACATTTGTAGCACGTTCTGACGTAACGACGTCCCACTCCTAAACTTAGCGTCATTTTATCTAAGTATTGCAACTTAATACGAGAAAGTAAAAAAATACGTGTCTAATATTTTTTCATTTTCAGCGTGTATTATACACGCTGACATTTTGATGGTTGTTTTCCCGCAGCAGAACGATTTCCCTTTAGTAGTACTATCGAATAATGCAAGTTACTTTTTGAAAAAATATTTTTTTTTCTCCTCATATACTCAAAAAAATAATCATCAACTCGAAAGCATGAGAAACGATAGTTTCTCTTCTAAAATGTGACGTCAAATCAATGTTCATAGTAAAATAATCTCTCGGACTAAGTAATACAGCATAAACTGCAATGCACGCGCGCGCGAGCGGATCGCCTCACGACAAACAACAAAGGCAACCACCGCGCTCTCTGTCACTCGCATCGGCCCGCATCGCCTCGCATCGCTTTCATTCACACCAGTCGCACCGCGAACGCCGTCCGCGCAACCACGCAAGCGCAGTACAATATTATTGCCGCCAAAATGGATCGCCATTACGTTTTTTCTAATGTGGAGTACGTAGCTATGGTGCAATTGTACGCGAGGGCGAATTATGATTTTTGGGCTTTTAATAACCCACACGTTATTCGGGAATGTGCGCATCAAGTGCGGTTTAGTGTAAACGTGTGGGCCGGTATAATAAACGGCTGCTTAATTGGTCCGCATTTTGTGACAGGACACTTAACCGGTGAAACGTACCTACAAATGCTACGTAGTGTTATCCCGGACTTACTAGATGACATTCCGTTAGCAGTGCCCATGGATGGCCTGTATTACCAGCACGATGGTTGCCCTGCGCATTATCAGCGCGCCGTGCGAGAGCACCTCGACTCGGTGTTTCCCCAGCGTTGGATCGGTCGTGGCGGGCCAGTGCCATGGCCACCACGAAGCCCGGATCTTACTCCACTAGACTTTTATTTGTGGTCTAATCTCAAACGCCTTGTGTATCGGCAAGAGTACGAAACTCGCGACGCGTTAAAAAGTGCGATAGTGGACGCTTTTGATGTGATTAGACGTGACAGAGACACATTATTAAAATTGAAAGCCAATCAGTTAAAACGTGCACGATTGTGTGTGGAACGCGGTGGCTTACACTTTGAACAATTGCTCCGTTACCGGGAAGTGTAAGTACTTGTACATTTGTAAATAAAACAATAAGATAGGTGATTAAAATCATTGTAAATACGTTGATTCCCATTTTTTAAATACGCCATAAATACTTTCCCAAATTCAGTAATAAACAAGATAATATCTCTTGATTAAATTTTGTTTTATGTTTGTGTTTAGTAAGTGTAGTTAAAAAGTATTTACGACGGTCCTAAGCCCGTTAAAGTATGAAGGGAAAATGGAAATCACTTGTTAGTAAATACTGAGTTATCAGCCTTTTGATAAGCGCGAGCGACAATGACAGCGGCCGGTGGCCGGTCGCGGCGGTACTATTGGTTCGCGGTTTCTTTCAAGTTTCGTGTATCACTATCGTAAAACTGCTATTCTTTTATTTAAATTAAAAACAACTTTCTCAATCTATTGTACTACTAAAATAGAATCATTTTACTGTGGGAAAACAACCATTAAAATATCACGGTGTATAATGAAAAAATAGTCGATTATATTATAACCGACGGACTAATTAGGTTTTTAATTTTTGATTCCCTGGTAATTACCCAATTCTGTGCATGTAACATATTTCAAGTTCATGTGAAATTTAAATAATCCATGATTCATTTACCATTCGTACTTTACTGTAAAGACATTATTAACTAAACTAATTAAAATGATTTTGCAGCAAACAATCGCTAATGCAGGTCGCACAGAAATAACGGAGTCCGCTTCACAACCAGTCATATCCAGTAAGTAAATTTTGTAGTATTATCTGTACTTTAGAACATAGCTTAAGTGACTTTGTCTTTTAGAAGTACAGAAAGCACTAACATTGACTATTTTATTCCGCAGATATATCATCATCGTTTGATTCACAACCGAAAAGATCTTCAACAAAAAGCCAATTCAAAAGACCGGGTTTGCCATCTGTTACGATTCCGAGGTAAAAATAATCACTTGAATATTTTGAAGTTTGCTTTTTAGTATGTCTCTCTAATGAAATTATTCACTCAATACAAATGACAAACACTACACAAGTTAGAAGAAACAAAATGCATATAACTTATTTATAATATGAATTAATTTCTTACAGACCTGAGAGTCCGATCAAAAAGTATCTGCAACCAACTCTCAGTGATCCACATCCTGCTCTCATAAAGAAGTCTTCATGTAAGTGTGAGTGATCCTAATTTTTATGCTATTTTACCAAAGTCAAAGTTATAATCATTTATTTTAATTATATAAGAGTTCTCTAGGGAAGCTATTTACTCTTCCAAAAGTGTATCGCAACTTTCCTTGGATCTAACGTGTTGAATGTGGTAAGTACTTAATATATTAGCTAAAGTTGGACGAGGAAACAATTCGCTTTATTATAACAGATCAGTAAAAAGTTATTTATTTTTGCATTTTTAAGTTACTCAACGCTTAAACTTTCCAAAGCATCATTCACACCATATTGCGAGCAAATTGTAGTTTATGGTACACTGTACAACGTCATCCAATTTTTATGGTATATAAGGACAACAAGTATACGGACCACCGATTGTATGTATAATGTAAATCGGCACTGCCCATGGACATCCAAATGGCAACACAAGTGCATTGGCGGCTTTTATAGGGGGGAATTTTGTGTTCAGATAAATAGATTTTTACAAATGTATAAGGTTCTATGCGCCTAATGTAAGTATAATGTTTGGCAGCGAATAAAGGCGCTGCGCCGGCGGTGGTGGCGGCGGCGGCGGCGGCGGCGGCGGCGGCGGCGGCCTGCCCGCGCTGCACGACGTGCACTCGTGGTGGGCCGCGCACCTCGCCGGCCTCGCGCATCTACACGCGGACTGAGCACGGTCAGCTCCACTACTACTATACTTGTTCCATTACAGGTTATCTGTGCCACGAAACGAGGTCAAATTTTTAACTGCCATGCCCCATGGAAGTAAAGAAAAAGGAACACTATTTTTTTAGTAGGGGAGCCCATGAAGGGATTTCGGTAGTTACTCGAGCGCGTCAGATTAACATATGGGGAAAACCTAGTGTCATGTTGAATATACCCACCATATATCCGATCTGATTAGAAGGGGAGGACGAAAAATTAAAAAAAAGTCTGACTAAATAAAGTCAATTTCGTCAGGTTAAGGGAAGGTAGGTCAATACTATGCTAAAGGAAGTGCGTTTGAAAAATCTGCCGATTCCAACTTAATTTGCAAGAGTGGGGGGATTTTGAAGGGTTCTTGTTTGCACTCTCCAGAACATTAACTCGTCGAGTACCGTCATTATAGACACAATTATAGAACAATAGGTTGCGGTCACCGGTGACCGCTTGGTGTTTGACAGTTTAACCTCATGCAAACTGGCAGATTAAGGGTTTTTTTTATTATTAAATACACATGGAGCATGTAAACTATCAATATCTGACACGCTCGAACACTAGAACTAAAGTTATGCTTAACAATTTCAACGATGTGTGGATTCCCCCTTCCCCCACCGGTGTAAGAAATTGTCACTAAACCATTTCTTCTTTATATCAGCATATCTTCAAAATCCAGTAGGTCCCAACGACGCTGAAGTAAATCTAAATTTAGAATCGTGGGCTCCCCTACTGCTGTTGTTTGTTGCATTCCCAAAAGTGTCAACACAACAGTTGATCAGTTTCTTAGTCTAAACCTACCTAACTGTAAGATATTACGTTTAATATGTTATACTTTGTGTATTATGTTACATATTGTAATTTGTCTGTCCTAAAATTTCGTATCCTCTCTTTTTAACGATAAAACTAAAATAATAAAAATTGACCCGTCGTTATCAAGTTGCAAATAATATAACGAACGACATAAGACTTTTTACCAACGATAAAACACATTTTATTAAATGGTTTTATTCAATTCGTATTTGTATTCTGATTATGCAATTCATTAAAGAAACGTAGCACGTACCTGTCGTCTAGAAATGTTATCATTACCATTACATTCAGAGCGCAACATTTTTATATGAAAATTTATTTATAGTGTTCATTTTCTTTAATCAGTACACCGGGACGTGAACCATTGAAGACATTGTTAACTATTTACAATTTATTGTCTCAAATGATGAAACGAAAGTAAAAGATAACGTATTAACAAATAAGCTGTAGCAAAATCTAGGTCAATACTTGTTTGATGTTAACTATCTGTGTTAATTAAATTGATAGATATATTTTAACGTGTTATCCGATTATTGTGTCTACCTATATGTTAGTGCCAAATAGTGCAAAAAAAAAATAAAAAAGATTACAAAATTAGTTCTTATTTTATTCAGTATCCCATTATTAAAAAATTCATCATTGAATTTGATTTTTAAAACTGAGTATCAACAGTTTAAAATAGGTATTATTTACATTACACAACCAGGCGTTATTTACAATGTATTATATAATTTACAAACCGGCTAGTTGGTTCATTCTATTAAAATATACATTGATATTAAATATTCTACTGTAATAGATGACACATGCCTAGAGAGAAGAGTACTATCGCAGTAATGGTTAGTACGAGACAGATATATCGACCTGCGATGGGGTAGTGGAATAGTTTCGCGTGCAGACGTAGAGTGGACGCGTACATGAGTACCGACGTGATGTCCTCCTGGGAAGTGTCCTGGTGCAGAAACGGACGGACGCACAGCTCATGTCCCACAGACTGAGTCCGTCTGCATTCTTTCGACAAACGTGCGGCCTGGAATAGATTTTAGATTTTCAACGTTATTACAACTAATAATAGTGAATAATTTTAGTAGCTTAAAGTATGCTAAGAATAAATATATTCCTTACTTGAACAAATGGCACAATAACTGCTGAAATCCATATGAGCTCGTTTAGAATGCTGATGCCGACCAAGGGTTCTGTCTCAGTATCCACCTTATCCAAGTTGAGGAGCCACATGATGCCAGAGGTGGCCCACGAGATATTCACGATGGTGAACAAACAAACCGCAGGGGCTAAGTCGTCGTTCAGATATTTTAATAATTTTCGGAACTCTGCTATCTCCTGGAAAATTTGGTTGTATAATTGGGCCGTCTCTAATAACATTATTGGCAAAACAATTGAGCTGCCCAGTTACGTACACTTAACCAATGTATTTAATCACAAGCAAGCATAATATTTATAAAAAATATGGTCAAAATGAAACTCACTCTCATCCAGTTGAGCGGAGTTATAGTTCGGTTCAGCAGCCGTTCTTTGAGGAACATAAGATGAGCTTGTAACAACTGTGCTTGTAGGCAATAGCTCGTGATTATAGTCGCCTGCACCATGTCGTGGATCAATGTGCATATAATTAGCAACACTTTCAACACCATCCTTATTTCATATGAACTAAAATTTAATATAAACTTATTAGATGACAGACCATACATAACTGGAAATAAATTTAAATAATGAATTACAAAAAATGATAAGGGACTTCGGTGTCTTTTATTAATTTAAAACTTACAAATGCATGCTCTGTAATTAAATTGATAGTTAAAACGACTAGGTAGGTACAGAATTTACAGAACTACGAACAGATTATAGTACCTAACTGTGAATAAACTCACCTATTTTCCATCCATCTAAATATAATATTGCCTTTAGCCAACATAAGATTGACTGAACATAACGACAGACACATCCATATAACGCTGAGTATTATGAAAAACCACAACATGCGTAGTAAACGTTTAGGCTTAGTGGTAGGCATTCCTTGAGGCGAATACGAAGATAGTAGAAAGACCTAAAAAAACACCAGTAGGTATAAACTAAGAGCTTACAGTCGTTCATATTAACCAAAACAATAAACAGAATAAGTAGGTGTTTTCTATTTTTTTGTTTCAGGTGCTACTTTTAAGGTTTTGTAGGTACTCACCCTTTCCATTAAATTTTGCAACTGTTCATTATCAGATATTCTGAACAAATATAATGCATATAAAAAACCCACGAAGTGCAGTATGCTGGGCCCGATATAGGTGAAAATAACATTTCCGTAACACACTTGCTTATAGTTCTCATACTCAAGGCTGGATGTTAACGCCAATGGAACTAACTTGTAACAAAATCCTCTGTCTCGTCTGAAATAAAATGTCTTCTGTTAGATAAATATAATAATTTGAAACTGGAATTGTCATCAATTGTTGTCGTTAATAATTTGACTCTCTATTACAATGGCCCTAAGTTATGTACTGAAAAAGGTATATAAACTCACCTGAAACAAGCCATATACTGTAGAACGTATCCTATAAACATGAGTATTGCTACTTGTATTGAATGGAAATGCGAGCAGCATATTGCGCATTTGGAAGAGTTCGATACATCTAGTACCGGTCGCAATCCCATTATAGTTAATAATTTTAAATATGGTAGCAATATCTGCAATAAATCAGTACATAATATTAAGTAGTTATAGGACCTACATTACGTATATTACAAGTACAGTTATTTATTAAGTACAATCTTAGGCACCTACCTTTGATTTACAGTAATGTAATATAGCAGAAGTACTCATGTATTCAGTGTCAGGGGATTCTGTTATTTCTCCAATCTGAAAAGCAGTCACCAATATAACTACCGTTCATTAGGTAGGTACTACCTATTTAAACCACCGTTGATTTTTATTGTTTATTAAAAACAAATCATAAACGCTTTTGTCAAATAAGATTAACTAAATCACGATTTGTAAATAACATTGTGGGCGTGGGGATACAAGCTGCCCAATGTGTGCGAGTGTATAATGGCACCAAAAACAGCTGTCATTTATTATATTGCATTAGTCTTATATAGGTAAACGATTCCTGCAGATATTGTTAAACATATGACTGATAAGAATTACTCACATCCACACTATTGCCGTCGATACTGAACCTGGTAGATCTCTCCATCGCTGGTTCAGCAAGCTTGTCGTTGCCCAGTACATGGCTGTCCAGTAAGTCACTAGCTACAAAACAATTGAAAAAATTCACATTATCCAGTTTATTGCCCATATCTGCTCATTAATTACCAACACGCACATTATTCTAAATGATAAAATATTAATAATTGATCTTTTATGTAGCAAACAACTAACATCTCTGTAATGACGGTACACAATTAAAAAAACTAGTGGGTAAGTGCTTACCACTACCGTAGGATGCGTTGTCATTTTGCATTTTTTAGAATATAATCACAATTTTTGTTTCTATACCAATTACCTAAATTAAACTTTCGTTGAGAGTGGAAAGGATACACTGAGAACAACAGCGATAACGATTCGCTGCAATGTTTTTTTAATAAATAATAACATCATTGAATGTGTGCTTATAATAATGCACTGAGTCAGTGCATTAACCTGATAGCCAATGCGATACAAATGTCATTGTGTTTTTGTACTTAGATATTATTTACAAGATCGTATGCGATTTTTTCGTGGTTAGTACCTACAATTTTAAAACCCAGAATATTAACAGTGATGTAATTATTGTCTTGATCCTTGTAAGCTTCCATAAACTGCAGTTGAGGTCGTGGTGTCGCCAAGTTTTATGTTGTGTAAGGACTAACGAATATTGTGAGTAATTTACCTACATACCTACATTAGAAATTATAATTTTTAATGTATTCATTGCATCTTTTTACTTACTACTGAGGCAAAGGTTTGTGACCTCTATGGACAACCAATGAAGTGTTGATGTACTAATAAGTGAAAACTCTAGTAGCTAAGCGTGTTATAAAAACCGAGGGCTGGGCTCGCTGCCATTGCAGCGGTAAGTCCCTTCTTTCAGGAGTGGCTTGAAAGACGCTAAGGCGTCCTCACCTACCGCCTGACACAGGTTCTCACCGGACATGGACGCTTCGGGAGATACCTCTGTGTCTGATGGGGCGGGAAGAAACGCCCGGGTGTCATCACTGCGAGGACCGCCCTGAGGACACGGTGAAACACACTGTGGGGGAATGCCCTGCGTGGGCTGAGCACCGCCGTGCCCTCAGGGAAGTGATCGGCGATGGCGACCCCTCGCGTCCGGGCCTAGTGCAGGCTATGATGCGGAGCGAGGGGGACTAGGATGCCGTCTCCTCCTTTTGCGAAGCAGTTATGCTAGCTGAGGAGGGCGGGACGCGTGACGCAACGAAGCGCTGCGTCCTCGCAACCCAGCCATCGCGAAGGCACACCAGGCTTCGGGGATCGCGAGACGATCTCCGGCCACAGTAAGCGCGGGCCTGCGGACGGCGAGCATGGGCTCCCCGTCCGACCAAAAACAGACCCGAGCGTACGGCGCGTCGCGTTCCGCGCGCGCTTCAAAGAGCCATCAGACCACCACAGATGGGGCTCAACGGAGTCGCGGAAAACCTAACGGGTAACCGGGGCTCCGGCTCGACGTGCAGGAGAAGGAACAGGGTGGTTTTTAGTTAGTAACAGTCTGTCCCTCCCGCCTCACCCAGGCGGGAGCAGTCATTCGATGATATTCCTCCCTTAAAAAAAGCGTGTTAGAAATGATATACCCACTATTATTTATAATAATTTAGATGGGGATACAGGTATTCGCAGGTTGCGCTCTAGCATATCAGCTCCTTGCACCCACCAGTCATTGTAGTGAGTTTGGTAACTTGTATGGGCGTCGTTGTTATTGGTATATGCAGTAGACGCACAGAATTTGCGAAATTAGCACGTCTGACCAGATGCCACAGCTCCGACGATGGATGCCATAACTTGGCATAATTTTGACTGCACGGTTGGTGCGGTGTCTAGGCAACTGGCTGCACTGTAACGTGTCGCGGGTTCGATTTCCCCGACTTGTTTGGTGTTGACTTTCTGTGGTCCACAAATTGTTGTTCCGGGTCTGGGTGTTATGTGTATGTGAACTACATAGTTAGTATGTTTGTAAACGCACCCCCGTCACAGGAGAAAAACCTAGTGAGGGGTAACGTTTAAAAAAATCTGGCATGCTGCTGTCTTTCTCTATTTATTAGCATGTGTATGTGTAATCCTTCTTATTATATGTATAAGCTGAAGAGTTTGTTTGTTTGAACGCGCTAATCATAGGAACTAATAGTCCGACTCCGATTTGAAAAAATTGTTATGGATAGTCCATTTATCGAGTAAGGCTATAAAACATCACGCTACGATCAACAGAAGCTGAGCAGAGCGAGTGAAACCACGCGGAAGTAGCTAGTTTATTATTAAAATGCCTAAATAAATGTCTTAATCTATATTTGTGTATAAAATAAATATTGTACATTATAACGATTTTGGTAGCTTTTTCTTCATTAAAAATCCTGTTTTTCTGACAAACTGTTTTCGCTCTTGATGATGTTTCTTCATTTGTTTTTGATTTTGCGTTTCTGATTTCTTCCCTCTCATACTAAACTTCATTTCGCGATTTCCTCCAGCAGTCGTGACCATAGTGGAAAAGTTTTCTTTAGCTAACCGGTCTCCCAAGCTAGCCTTGCTAACCCGTGTTATACTTTTGATGATATTTGTAGATCTAGGAGCGTTATTAGATTCGTAAACCTGCTCCTCAATGGGTTGCGAGTCTTCTTCTTGTCGTGACTTATTTCTTATGATTTTATGTTGCTTTTTCACTTCTTTAACCCATGATCGGTCTTCATCTGAACTTTCGCCGTCACTAGTATCATACAGTTCCATATCCGAATCCTTATCTTCAGTTTCTTCCACCTGTTAACAATGAAAGTAAAAGAGATAGTCACGTTTGATAACAGAATTAAGTAATTTGTTTTTAGATATAGTGCTTGTAGAAATAGTTACCTGCATTGATGTTTCGGTTTCCATTTTCTTGTCTTTGTTTTTATCGAGCCTAGATAAAACTGGGTTGAGTAGGCGATATTCCTCAGCTTCTCTATCCACCTCAAAGTCAGGATTTTCAAACAAAGCCTGGGGGAAAGAAAAGAAGTTTATGTAGAATACTTTCACTGAAGACAGGGTAATTGTGATTGGTGCCACTGATCTCATGCCTTAATAATTATGATAGAGCTTTGCCCTATATATCTATCTTCTATCTTTAGGACAACAATTTATACATTTTAAAACAAAATCAACTGAAAATACTTAATATACAATTAATATTAACTATTACTAAATGAAAATATATACAACTTAAAATATAAATAACTGTGAACTAAAATATTTACACCTTAAAAAAAAGCTATTATAAGGCATCAAAAAAATTTTTTTCGTCATCATTATCGGTGAGGTAGGGTGCCCAAAAGACTGGCAGCATTACCACGTTGAATGGCAATGCTTAACCTTTGCCCAAGGTAGAAGCCAGCCCTTCGATCACCTGAAGTGTCAACCATCCTCCTTACAATATCTTTGTAAAGAAGATGTGCACTTGGGCCCCACGGCCCTAAAGTTTCAACCCCAAACGGTTCGCAAGCATATATCTTTATATATATAATTCTTCTGTGAGTGTGTATGTCACTGAACTTCTCTCAAACTACTGGAGCGATTTTGATGAAATTTTTTGTGTGTTCAAGGGGATCTGGAAACGGTTTAGATTCACAAATCAGCCCGGCAGATGGCGCTGCATTCGATCTTTAGGTTATTTATCCTAAACAGCTGAACTAATTTGAATGATGTTTTGTTTATACATTCAAGTGGATAAGCAGGACAACGTCTGTTGGGTCCGCTAGTCTATATATAAAACGCATCCGTTACTGAGTGACTGACTGAATGACTGACAAACAAAGCACATCCGAAAATACGGGCCGGAGAGCTGAAATTTGGCATGTGTGATCGTTGAGAAAATATTCTTTTTTGGATTTCTTCCCCTAACGGGGGAAAAGGAGGCAAGTTGAAACTTTTTACTAAACACTTTGAATGTTTGGTATAGATATAGTTTAAAACACAAAAAACGTAATAAAATAGTTTTTGTTCTGGATTTCAAGGAACGGGAGTAATACATTAAAATCTCAGTACTCGCTCTATTTCTTAAACCACCGAAAGTATTTGAGGGAAATTCGGAACTTACAACGATAGTTTATTTAAGACCTGGAAAAGAGTGTGAGATAGTTTTCATTCTGGAAATTTCACGGGAACGCGGGTACTTATGCAGTAAAATCCCGAGACTCTATTTGTTACACCACTGAACATATTTGAGTGAAATGCGGTATAACAATAGTTTGGGACTTTGAAACGACGTTTGATAGTGTTTATCTCGGATATTCTACGGGAATGGGAACTATGCGGTTAAAACCAGGTATTCTTTATCTCTTAAACCAGTGAACCCATTTGATTGAAATTCAATAGGTACAACGACCTGGGACCTTCCCCAGGTCTCAAATTATAGAGCGGATGATAGCCTCTTTACCCGTAAATATCATGGGAACGGAAACTATACGGTAAAATTTCAGGACTCTCTATCTTTTAAACCACTGAACCTATTTTGAGTGAATTTGAGTACAACGATAGTTTGAGACCTGGGAAATGATGTTTGATAGTTTTTATATTTCAGGGGAACGAGAAGAGGAATTATGCGTTAACATCTCTGAACTGAACCTATTCGATACAACTATGGTTGTAACCTGGGAAAGGACAAAGAATAGATTTTATGGCTAAAACATCATGTAAACACTGTATGCGTAAAACACCTGTGGAAATAAATTAAATTGACAATAAACATAACTTGGGTACTAAATCGATTTTGTTGATATTTGCTACAGTTGTAGAATATTCAAACAGTTCTAAACCCAAATTCTGTCAGAAGTTATTATTTTACGAGGGCGTAGTCGCGGGCCAAAGCTAGTTATTCATATGTAAGAATAAGGTTTGACAATTGGTCATATTATTTTTACCTTAAATCGATCATCTTTGAGCAGATTAGTAGTTTGTTTCTTCTTTCTTCCGCTGTCATCCATAAGTTTAGATGCCAAATCTCTGTTGACTTTTGGCAAGTTATCCTCGACCTTTAGTCTGGATGGTCTCTCTTGCTCAATCTTTTCTCTGATCTTACGTTTCTTATATTGCTCAAACGCAAATGGATCCGCGATCGATTTCGCTCTCTTGTATAAACGCACATCAACAAAGAATCTGTGAATATTCAATTCATTAATAACAAAGAATTTAAATCTCTAATCATCCGGTAAAATAAAACCTCATCTGAGACTCACCCATGCATGTATGCTCGTAACAGATTTGTACCCAACAAGTGATCAAGGCCTAATGATTCCAGCTCTTGTTTAGTGATGAACTTGTAGTCATCATAAACTGTTTGTGCTGCAGAGCTTTCTAATTCTTCTGTTAAATTATCCAAGAAAGCACACCACCTAGGTGCTGGTCCTGGAAAATGAATATCAAAGTATTTAAGAAATTCTATCCATACCTTTTAAATTTAACTACAACTGTTGGTACATACCTAATGAGGGAATGTAGTATATCTGCATTTTTTGGTCTTCAACAGCCATCAAATTTAATCCTGTGTTTGGAATAACACATAAATCATTGAAATCAGCTGATGATTCTATGCTCGTGTACTGCTTGCCCTAAAATAATAACATGGTTGTTTTAATATGGTCACATTCTTAACTTTCAATCATCAATTACAATTACCTATATAATACCAATAGAATGAGCTCCGCGACGTCGCCGCGACCGCGCACGCTGCTCATGAGGAAGAACCCCTCTGTGGTTCGAAACTAGTAGAGCTTTTCTCAGTATATTCACGTGAGTAACCCGCGTTTTTACTTAACATACTAATCTCACGATAGTTATTATAAAAACATTACCTATATACTTACTGTATTCTTATCCCATATCTTGACAACAGTTGAATCCATAGAATAAACATAATCCATTGTTTTATGGAATTCTAATGCTTTTATAGGTATTTCATTCATGTGGTCTTTTACAAGGAGTGGTTTACTTGATCTAATGTCGTACAACAGTACATGACCTGTAGATGTCCCTACACCCATCCTGAGAGGTCCATCAAACTTGGCAGCAGTTATGGCAGGCAATTTATCATTTCTATAAAACAAAAGCAATATTTTAATTTATTGATTACAGAAATAGATTAATAATATTGTTTTAAGATTATTATGACTTTACATACTTGTATTCTGAATCTGTACAATGCATGGCACAATCTAATATTCCCTGTCTTGATTTAGTGCGAGGGTCCCATGCTTCAACATGACCAGATTCCGTGCCTAGCATCAATAATCCATGTTCCTCATTAACAGCACAACAATTAATTTCATTCGCCTTTGTTACATATGGAGCTAAAAATTGACCTATTTCTAAATTCAATCTGTAAACTTCCTGAAAATAAAATAATTTGTGTATGTAGCTTAAAAACACACAATTTAATAAATGCTCTGGTTGAATGGTTTAAAAGCACAAAATATAATAGACTTACAGATGATGCACCCACAACAAATAGATCGCATGATGGCCGATGATATGCTATATCTCTTCCAAATCGGGGTACTCTTAGTCGATAGTGTCTACCATGTCCAACATGGAATTCCACATAACGATCACATTGCAAAAATATTATCTGAAAAAAAAAAACCATTTAGTCAGTCATTTATATAACCAATCTAACGTTATAATTACATTAGCAAACATTTTGTACTGGATGGATATTTCAAGATATAAAAACTTACCTTAGAATAGTCCTCACTTAATATTTCAAATGTTACAACTTCAGAATCAAGACATCTTTCAAACTTTAAGGACAAATTATTAACGTCATAGCATTTTATTCTTGGTTTATAAATGCCGGTGGTCATTATATATTGTCCATCTTTAGAAACTCTGATAGTGGTGCTCACTCCTGGCATATCAAACTCCTGAATTAGCTCAATTCTTCGTCTGAGGTCAACATTTTTCTTGAGCAGGGCACGCTTTTTTCTTTCTGTCAGCCACTACAAACAAAAAATTACTAGTAAAGTAAATATAAATAAATTTAAATGAAATGTATACTTCATAGGTTATTAATTGTTGTCGCTTACATCAGGTAGGGATTTTCCAACGCTGAGATTGTAAATTTTAACGTTGTCTATTTCAGATAACTGCATTTTGTTGTTCTTAGCCAGTAACTACCAATAAAATCTTAATTCACATGAAAATTTTATTTATTTTCCTCATATTTCAAAACACGCTGCTTAGTTTTGACTTTGACAACTGTCAAATCTCCGTCATGCCATGCGCCTCACTAAGAATTTGACGCTGGCAGAGTCAACTACTAAATAGTGGAGAGATTGCCAGGAAAAAAAAGAAACGAATTTGACATTGACAGTTGACAGTTCTCTATAATAAAAAAAAACCATAGAAGTGGGTAACAAGAAAAAACACGATTAAAATACAATGAGCATGGTAGTGCTAGTGTTGTGTCTCTACCCTAGAATACTAAAAAGCTAGGTATCTTTTGTGTTGTCGCGGAGAACCTAACGGGTAACCGGGACTCCGGCTCGACGTGCAGAAGGAACGGGGTGGTTTTTGTCAGTAAGAGTCTGACACAAAGAGTATAATAAGTATAGGGGATAAGAGTTGCCACTCGTCAAAAATTTATGCCAATCAATTTGAAACGCCATCTGAAAATTGGATCCTAGTATATTTTTTTTTTTACTAACGTCTACAGATAATCCTAAGTATAGCTAATGCCAATATTACCAACAATGTACCTTG